CAGCACTTTGGGAGGCCAAGGTGGGAGGATCACTTGAGCCCAGGAGTTCAAGACCAGTCTAAGCAACATAGCAAGAGCTCGTCTCTACACAAAAAAGTAGAAAAAATTACCAGACGTGATGGCACACGCCTGTAGCCTTGCTACTCATGAGGCTGGGGTGGGAGGACTGCTTGAGCCGGGGAGGTTGAGGATGCAATGAGTCCTGATCACACCACTGCAATCCAGCCTAGGCAACTGAGGGAGACCTTGTTTCAATCAATCAATCATAAGAAAGCACAAATCCACAAGGGGTCTTCCACTCTGCAAGCCTGTGTTTAAGCACGTCCTTATCTATGCCATCACACTTGCCACATACACACATACGCTCCTTCCCCAGCTCCACACCTCAGTCGCCACAGGTTGTTTTTTAACTCCCTGGGTTCCACAAACACGTGGTGAGTAGGGCTCTGACATAGGGCCATGACACATCTTCCCAACCAAACATAACAATTTGTGAACTGATTAATCCATTGGTCCCTATGTCATTGAAAAAGGCTTTTTCCCAGAGTTTTCAAGAAGGCCACCAGTTCAGTGATATTCTCCCTCTCTCATTTCATTTCAGGATCCCTCTGTTATAATAAAGATGGGGGTAGTCTCTCCTGGGAATAAAGCAGGTTGGGAGGCAGGCTACGTAAAATGCTGAGAAGTATTTCTAAGCATCATCATCATCATCATTTACAAGGCCTTCACACATGCCAAAGTTGTTCTACAACACATTAGGGCACAGTTCTTGGTTCAAGCAGTGAATACATTATTGGCAAAATGTGTTTGACTTTTACCTCTACATAAAGTGAATGAGGTAGGTAGGAAAAGTCCTACCCCTATTATAGGAAGAAAACTGAGGCTCAGTGAAGCACAGGGACTTCCCCAAAACTTGTGCTTGTCAGAAAAACCTAGAGCTGGGTCTTCTGGCCCTTTCCCTCAATGAAAGCACAGCTTCGAATTCTTCCTCTGCCACTGACATGAGATTTGACCCCAATCTAGCATCGCAAGTCCGTAGTGAATTTTTCATCTGAAACATATGCCAACTGGGCCCAACTACCAACTGGGTTCTAGAGACGGCCCAGAAAGTCGGGATGAACGGGTGCAGTGGGAGACCGGGCTGAAGACCGTCTAAGACCTCGACCTCAGAGAGCCTGCCCAAAAGGGCTGGGACCGCAGCCGACTTTCTGGCCTAGGATAGGGCCCGCCGCGCCACCCCCTCCCGCTCACATCCCAGGAGCCTCCGTAGGACTTCGGCGCTGGACTGGGCACTCCAAGTCAAGGGCTCCAGCCCGCATTAGCCCAGCGCCACCCACTTCCTCGTCTGCATTTTCTGCCCACACATACGCCAACGGTTGGATGCGCCCGCCGGGCCAGTGTGCCCCTGAGTTTGTGATCCCCAAAAGCAAAACACAGAATTCCGCAACGATTTCCACGCACCGCCACTAGCTTCCGGACTCCAGCACCAGCAGCACTGGCCTGCGAGTTCCTTTTGCGCCTGCGCGTGGCGCTTGCGCAGTGGGCGAGGAGGGCGAGGCCACAGTGGGCGCAGAAGTGGGTGGGACGAGTACGCCTTGGCAAATACTGACATGAAACCCTGCGGGCAGGGAGACCACTCTAAACCACAGATTCAGGAAGAGGACGCTGCAGGGCACCGCCCTTCACTCAGGACAGCTGCCAACGCTTCGGGTCTGCGGATCCTGTCGGTGGGGACGAACCGATTCCTGGCGCCTCTAAGGGCTGATTCACGGGGCGGGGCGGGGCGGGGCCGAGAAGTGTGGATCTATTAGCCCGAGGCGGGGCCCAGCTGTGACGTCATGAAGTTGCGTAATGGAATGCCTCTGTGGACCTCATTCAAGCTTTATGCTGCAGCCCGAGCGAGGCCTCTGTGACGTCACAGTGTCTGCAGGAGGAGACCATGACGTCACAGAGGCTTAGCGCTCTGAGAGGTGGGGCGGGACTCTTTTGAGCCGGCTGTGGGGACACCAAGATTCTAGGGGATTTAGGACATCAGGTCCTCAGGTTCTCAGAGCTGAGGTGACGTCAGGGAGCCCCAGAGCATCCCATTGCTTCCCTCCCCACAATGTGAGCAGTGAGTTCCGCGGCAAGGAAGTACGTGGGAAAACGTTTTTTAGTGGGTCCCTAACCCCTAACTACATTCTGGAAAGAGAAGGTAGAACTTGAAACACTATGTCCTAGGAACAAGCTCCTGCAAGCTGTTCTTTTCCCAGGACGCACCTGATATCTTCCCAGAGACAGCATCTGGCAGTTCCGGGCTGTGCCCAGGATCTCTGGCACCTTCCGCCCTCCCTGCCCAAGAGGCTGTCCTAGGCCAGATAGCTTCCCCATCCGTACACAAAAACTACAGGCCTGGCAGCTTTGATAAGGGCCCCAGCTGAACTCCACCTGGCCAGCACCATCGGCCTCTTTTTCTCCTGAAAAACAGCCCCAGCAACGCTGGGCGCCAGAGACAGTCACTGGGACCAACGAATCTTATTGTGATGGGGGTCCAGAGACGAGACGAGAGCTGGGACTTTCTAGAGATGTACTGGGGGAAAATTTGGGGCAGGCAAGAAAACTCACCCAGCATTTTTGACCCTCTCAATTGCATTTTTTGTGCAAGCCACACTGAGTATGAGCAGGAAACTGGGGCACTGGTTTCCAACCACATCAATCAACCACATCACTTGGGAATTGTAGCCTGGATGGGGTCAGATGGCCCACAGGCCCAGCTGGTCTTTCCACCTGTAGTTGCTGTTTCTGCACAGTCTCTGAATCACTAGAGCAAGCTGCAGTGAGACGTGATATCTGAGTCCACCAGGATAACAGCAAACATCAGTAGAGCAAATAGAGGCATTCTGAGAGGGCCAGGGAGTTGCTGTGCATCACCCTGTCCCACCCTTCATTTCCCACCTCCAATTTAAAATTCTTCACTGGAAATCTGTTATTTTGGGGATGCACACTTGATACTGACATTCAGTTGCAGGACTTGTACTGGGAGGGGTTTCACAGTGCTGGAGGTGGGGTGACCCAAAAAGGATTAACATGGCTGGCAAACCTCCCCATTTCACCATATTTATAATGTCCTGAGGCCCTGGAAACTGCAGAGGCTTAGTGTTCAGGGAGGTGGAATAATGTGTTCTGGGAGGTGGAGGGATGTCAGGGGCTAGGGAAGAGCAGCCATAGACAACCCCAAGGATAGCATCCCAGAAAGAGCCAAGGGACTAGGAAGGGCGCCGTGTGTGTGTGTGTGTGTGTGTGTGTGTGTGTGTGTGTGTGCGTGCGCGCGCGCGCGCGCACGCACCCATGCACTCTGGTTGTTTTGGAACAACCACGGCCCACAGCCTCGTGGGGCTTCATAGAGGAACCAACGAGGCTTCTGCAGTTGGCCCTAGTACAAGCTATAGTCAGACACGAACCACACCACAACCTGCGTGCGCCTCTTGGGCCCAGACCGTCTACCTACCACCCCAAACCTACTGGCTAACCTCACTTCCACGCACTCAGAGGCCCCAGTTCTCAGGAATGGGGGCATAATTCTGGGCCGCGCGCGACCTTGTGAACTGCACGGAAGAAGGACTGGGATAGTGCCCAACTAATGAAGATCCCTCAGACCAGACCAGACTCAGCAGCGCTCTGCCCCTCATCCGCAGTGGGTCCTGGGGCCAGTCAAGGTTTTGGAACCAAACATAGATGCTTGGCGGTTTCGCGAGGTTGCGGGCAAGACCCCTTGAGGTGCCGAGTCCTGGGCCGCCCCTCCAGGGCTGGCCAGCAGGGGGCAGCGCGGCTCTGAGCGTGGAGGCCAGAACTGGTGCGCGCCGGCAGGGTCAGACTCACTCAGTGCCCAGTTGGGTTCCCGGGCCTCGAAGTTCTAGGCCGCACAGGACCCAGGAGCGTTCCTGGAGGAGGTGGGGATGGGGCGGTGAAAGCCGAGAGCGTTTTAACTCCTTCATCCCCTGCCGCTTTCTCAGCCAGCAGGGCCCGGCTTGAGGCTGGGATTTTGGGTCCCTGCAGCAGGGAAGCTTATAGTCCAGTTGTCATCCGCGGCCGCCGCGCTCTGGGCGCTGAAGCTGGAGAGGCCATCCTGCGCTTGGGAAAGGCCGCGGGCGCCACCGCCTGCGCAGTCCGGCGGTGAGGGCGCCGGAGCTGGGGGAGCTCCGCCTCGCCCCAAGGAGGAGAGCCCCGGAGGCCTAGCTTCTAATTGTGGGAAAATTAGACACCCCAGGGAAGGTTCAGCTTATGGAGGGCGGACTCGAATTTCTCCTCCTAAGCGTCCCGGGCCTCCCAGGGCGCCCGCCCCCACCATTCCTGACAAGGCTTTAAAATTGTAGGGAATCTTCGCTGTTGTAGAGCCACGATCCTAGGAGAGGACAAGTCCCAAGCAGAGAATGGTGTCTGAGGGATCCTAAGGGAGGGAGTGATGTTGGTTTGGGGTTCCTGGGAGACAGCGGTCATTGTGTATTTGCACCCGAGTGTTGAGACCCGGGGAACAGGAAACAGTACAGCTCTGAGGCTCTGTGAGGGCGGGTCTTTCCCACCCCAAAGCCAGAGGCCAGGAGGGAGGCCTTCGGTTAGGGTGGGGAACGACATTCTCTTCTCTCTTGCACCCTAAGCGATCTCAGCACTCAGAGACGCTGTCTCAGCACCCAGAGAATCTGGGATTTCTCACGGGCGGTGTTCTGCCCTCAGGATTAGGTTCTTCGTAAACTCACAGCCCTTTAGAGGTGAGGAGTGGGAAGGCTGAGACCCTACCCCCAGGCGGAGCAGAAAAGTAAGAAAATCAATACATGGTGGGGCAGAGGCAGAGGCAGACCTACCCGGGAGAGAGAACGTTTCTCCACCCATCTCAGCCCTGTCATCCTAATACGACGGGGTGGTAGGAGGGGGACACGCTGGCCTCCAGCAGAGAAACGTGGTCCTCTCAAAGAGAGGATCCACCCGGTTTCCTGCGTTTAGGAGGGAAATTACCTATCCTGCAATGCCTGTAAAATAACCGTTTATTTATTAGTTAAAAAAAAAACTCCAGTGATAAATGTCCGTTACCGATGGTCAGCATAAAGTGCCAATCGCAATATAACGCCCGGCTCCTGGCTGGCTGCTCCCTCGCAGTGTCGCGGCAGCGGAGGCCGGGCCCCCTGCAGACCCAGGCCTGAGGTCCCCGCCCTGCTGTACGAGTCCCGGAGCCCAAGGACGCGGGCTGAGCCGCAAGAGCTGGGAGGGGGCGCTCCTGCCCGGCGGTCCCTGGGGCGGGAGGCTGAAGCAGATACAGGGATTACACTTTTGCAGGCTCCGGGGGAGGGGGCAGTGGCGGGAGGAGGAGGTGGGAGCTGCCAGTGCTAAGGACTTCCTTGCCTCTCCCCTCACCCCTCACTCTCTGCAGTCAGAGTTACAAGCTTATATGGTCAAAGACAAAAATAAAAAAGAAAACGTATAAAAACAACAATAGAAAAAGTAATACTTCTGGGAGAGGCGCCGCTGCGGCTCCGCGGAGCTTTCGTTCTTTTCTTAATGCAGTTTCCCTTCCGCCACGTGAGTACCGCCTTTTGGCCAAGAGTTTAGCCGCGTCCTAGGGGAGCAGCCGGGACGGTCGGGGTCGCGGCCCCGGGCGGGGCTCTGAAGTGCCGCGTGCGCCAGGGACCCAAGGGACAATGTTGGAGAGGTGGAAGGTCCCAAGCGAGCGCCTCTCCCGCTGCCCGCCAGAGTCAGGCTTCTGGTCCCTCTGGAGGAGAGGGCCACTGGGCCCAGGGTCCTTGTGACCCAGAGGCTCTATTTAGCATTTGATCTTGGAGGTTTTGAGCTCCTTCACCTGTGAGTGTAGCGTCTTGTGGACAGCGAGAGTCCTGGACTGGCAGAATCCTTTCCCGCACTCTTGACACTTGAAGGGCTTCTCTTTGGAGTGAATATATCTGAGGGCAGAAACAGAGAGTTCATACTTGCAAAATGATGCAATGTTATAAACAGTTGCCCAAGATCCCCTCCCACTGCTATGGGGCACTTGCCCTCAAAATAAAAGTGTATAGTCAGTACCAAGTGTGGATGGGACAAAATGTTGATTGGGGATGGAGTGGGGAGGTGAAGGAGATGCTTTAGCAAAGTCTGATCCTTAAACAGGTTAAGCCACCTGTTTAAGGTGCCTTCCTGGTGGGCAGGAGGGGCAAACTTGGCCTCCTAATAAGGTCAACACTGACGATGAGTAAAGGGAGCTGGGGTCGGACAATTTGCTCGACCTGCACTGTCGAAGATGGTAGCCGCTAGCATGTGTGCTTATTAAAATTAATATTACTTAAAATTAAATAAAACTAAATTAGTTTCTCAGGTGCACTATTACATTTCAAATACTTAACTGTCACATGTGTCACATGTCACATTTCCTTCATGGCAGAAACTTCTATTGGACACCCCTGAAAATGGAGGAAGTGGGGCGGAGGAAGCTGTGTGCTTGTCTGGAGCTCACGGAGACCTCACTTAATCTTGGGTCCTGTTTATTCCTACATTTCCTGAACCCATGCTCCAAAACCTAACCCTGGGTCTCCTAGGCTTTCTTTCTTGATTTTAAAGAATTCCCTGAAGCTCTAGAGGCTTGGAGCCAGTAGGGGGTCTCAAGAACCTCGTTAGGGAGGAAGATGGTGAGGCCAGAGGCAGAGAGCTCTCTCTTGGGCCACGCGCAGTGCCGCACCTGTGGTCCCGTAGGTGGTCTTGCCTCCGGAAGGCTTTGTGGCAGATGTCACAGGTGTAGGGCCGCTCGTCGGTGTGTGTCCGCTCATGGATAAGTAGGTTGTAGGACTTGGTGAAGTGGCGGCCACAGAACTTGCAGACGAACTCCTTCTTGGTCTTGGAAGGCAGACGTCCCCTTGTGGGTTTCTTTTCTGGAGACAGCTTGGTCACATCTAGGAGGGCACCCAGCCCACCCGCAGGGGAGCCTGGGCCCTCCCCGCGGCCAAGCTTGGCCGGATCTTCTTGCGTTGCGGCCAAGGCCAGGTTGGCGAAATCAAAGCGCGGCTTAGTCTTCAGCGCTGGAACGCTGCCTCCAGCGGTGATCTCGGGCTTGGGTTGAATAACATGAGGGAACCAGGGAAAGGCGGGCAGCTGGAAGCGCGCGTCCACCAAGCTGGACACGGTGCCCGGCACTTTGGAGAAAGAAGAGCGTGGCAAGTGCATGGCCGGGTAGCCCAGCGTCCACTGATGCAGGTGCACAGCGTGCAACGCGCTGAAACCATACAGGTTGGGCAGATGGTCCGAAGGCACTGTGGGCAGGCCGTTCACTGCCTGAAGGAAGGAGTAGTTGGTGAGCTGCAGGGAAGGGTGGATGGGCACCGGCGCCGGTAAGGTTTTGCTGCCCATTTCGGCAGTGGCAGTGGCTTCTCAATCCGGATCTGCAAAGAAAAGAAGGCAGGGGCGTGGAGAGGAATAAAGAAGTTCAGCGTGGGTCGCCTTACTCCTGAATTTCAGCCCAGCCACACCCTCTCCTCACACCCAGCGCAGGAGCTAAGAGTCTAAGACCCCATTCCCAAAACCCACTGCCCTCACAAAGAAGGTAGAAATGTAAGTACAGGGGAGCCCTCTTTTCAGAACCCTCTTTGGTCTGAGGGCTCCCTCCAAATGGCCTCTGGCAGAGTCACACAGCTTGATAGAGGGAAGGGTCTACTGTATACAAGACACAGAAAAAAACAAGCACAGGGAAACTGCCTGTCCTGTAGAAACTGACAGCCAGGTAAGCTTGGGTCAACACAGAATCACAATCTCCTGCAAAGATAACAGGAGCTGGGGAACACACACATTCATTTGCAGATAAACACAGAAATGCACAAGCAGATTCACACATTCTGAGGCAGAATTGACAAGGTGCAAAGACTGGGACAACCAGTGTTTTATAGCACAACACTGACTTTTAAAAAAAATGCAGTAACTCCTGCATCTCACACACACGATCACATAGCATCCATGAAGAGCCTCACAGACAACACACATACACAGACACACAAATGCATGCACCTCCTGGCTCCCGTTCGTTAAGGTCTTCTGGCTGACCTTCGATTTGGCTTCCAGAAGCCCTGTCATCTTTCTCCTCAAAACCCTCAACTTTGACCTTAAATCCGCTTCCCTGCCTTAATATAAGTGAAATCTGTTGGCTTCACTCTCTGAAGCTGCTTGTGGACTGATTCTCTGCCTTGCCTTAGCCCTTGGGGACCACTTTGCTTTCAAGGAGGGTGCTAATATCCACATTCATTTACTCTGTCAAACAATTGCAGTAACAAACAAGGGGGCATTAGTGCCCTCACTCCCCCAAAGAAAAAGGGAGTTGGGTCTTTGGGTTGTCAGCATGTTCTTGTGTGTGGTGAGCCCTGGGCAGGTGGGTATGCCTATAGGCAAGAACACTGAGGCCAGGCCTCCATTCCTGTGGTCTATGTACCTCCAACTGCAAGGTCGGACAGCTTGAGCAAGGCCAGAGGAAAGCCACACTGAAGTGACCAGGGGCTGGCATCTCCAGACCTTCTTGGCCATGGTCTCCAGCCTCCATGGAGACATCTGAGCTCTGCAAAAATGCTTTTCATCTCTACCTCCCAGACACTCCTAACTCAGATGTGTCCAGTGGAGGAAAGAACAGGGTGAGCAAAGTCTAAACTGTCAGGGAGCCTTGGGAAGCCCAAGCACTGAACTCCTGGCTCTTAGCTTGGGGCTACTTAAGAAGTCATTGTCACAGCAGGGTCCTTGGGACTCCCTTCTCTCTTGCCCAGCCTCAATCCCCTGCTGTTGACTTCTTCCTTTACCCTTCATTACTCTCCTCTTCCTAGGTCATTTCCTCTAACATGGAGTAATTTCCCTTCCCTGGGATGCATTGGCCTCTGCTCTGCTCCCTAGTTTGCTGTGCCCCCTCCCCAGGTTGAGCTGACCCTCAGCCCAGGGCAAGGCCCAGGCATAGACTCCTCTACCTTTCGCTGCAGCGAGGCTTTCAAAGCCTGGCTCTGTCCAGGGATGTGCAGTGCCTTTTCCTAGGAGGTATGAGGACAATGTTGACCCAGGAAAACCTTTTCTCCTGGAAGCTGGCAAGGGGGCCACTGGCTGTGTGGTGGGACCTAAGGAAAGAGGCCTTCCTGGGAATGGGGCGTAAAAACACCATGAGCTGGCAGCGATTTGCCTGCGCAGTTTAAATTAGCACTCGGATACAAACCGCTGCAATGAGTTTAGCCTCAGGGCGAGAGCAGGCACAGTATCTGCATGATCTGGCCTCTGAAGCAGAGCGCTGGTCCCGCCGGCAGCGCCGTGGCTTCAGCAACGGTCATCTCTACTGCGCCAAGCCAAGTTCGGGTCGTGCCCGGGACAAACTGAGACTATCCCAGAGCTCGGACACAAGGAGAAATAAAATTCAAATTGGGCCAGAGAGGAAGCTGGGACCCATCTGGGTTGGGGAAGGGGAAGGGGAAGGAGGAGAAGCCTCGCTAACTTCAAAGGTCGGTCTGGACTTAGGGGAGATGAGGGCTCTTTGAATTGCTGTCACCTCTTCTTCCCTTCCAGGCGCTGGAAATCAGATCCTCATCTCCGGGTCCCAGAGCCCAGTGGGCGCCGCGAAGGCCTCCTCCTGCTCCTCTGGGTGCTTGGCTTATCCAAGGCCAAGCCAGCGGCCGTGGCTGTGGGACTCTGGGCTGCACACTAGTCCGAACCCGCTGCGTGCCTGGGTGGGAGAAACCACCAACCTCGCTAGGCCTTTCTTCGCCTTCTTCCTGGGAGCCAAGACCGGAGCCGTCTTGGGCTCCGTAGGGGGTGCCGGGAAGGGGGAATGCTTGCAGCTATAATGGTTCCTGGGAGCCAACCTTTCCGGGCTATCTGCCCGATCTTGTTTTCCCCAACGCTACATTTATTTTCTTCCGCGGCCCAGCCCGTTCCTTGTTTTCTGAATCATTCGGAAGCCAGGGCTCCCCAGGCTCCCGCCAAGTACTTTCCCCCGGACGAAATTCGTTCGAAACGTGGCTCTTTACACTAGTATCAAGAATGGGCCGAAAGCACGATCCGGTTTCAGGAGGTCAGCTAAGAGAAAAACAGTCTCACCCTAGCCCCTCCAGTCAGAAAGGATGAGCGAGCCCCCGACCCCTCGGACTCCGGAACCCCAGGGCAAATACTTTCGATCTTTAAACACAGGATGGAAAACCCTTCCCCGGGCTAAGCATCCATTCCTGAAACAGCTTGGGCCTCGGGACCTGGGGGAAAGAATAAGGGGACCCGACCACGCACAGCAGAGGCAATTCGCGCTCGGGATCCCGGGTCCCTGCGCAGTGCGGGCACTCGCGCTCCTCGCGCGGTGGAGCGCCAATCCCAGGTCTGCCGCCAGTCCTATGCCGGGCATTAATGAAGTGTGCAGAGTCTATTAAAGTGGTTTATTTGGGGCTAATTGAGCGTGAGCAAGTTAACTGCTTGCATTAATGAGGATGGGAGCGAACTCCACGAGCTTGCGCCTGGGGGAGCCCAGAAGAAACCCAAGAAAATCAGCCTTGACATCGAATCTCCAATGAGTGGTGACAGGCGTCCGGACCCCTGTGAAGAGGACTGACCGCACCGATACTTCTGTAGCATTCTCCCAACAAACGAGATCTAACGAACCCATCGGTAAGGCGGCCATCCGGCTGCACTTAAATGTCCTCTGCGTCCTCGGCGATCCATTCCCCAATCTTAATAAAACAGCAGTTACCTCGAGGAGCCTGGGATGGAACATCTACCCGCCGCCGGTCGCTGCTAGTCCCCTCCAGCCCTTCTCTTCCCTAGGGGGCTGTGAAGCTGGGACACCTAGCCTTGCACGTGGTTTTGTTCCCCAGAGCCAATGCGCAGCTCTTAGCCTGGGTGAAATTTACCAAATTGTGGCAACAAAGAAACCCTCGCGGCTACTTTACACACTGAGAGCCCAACCCACTACTGCCTGAGCTGCTGAAAAAGGACTAAACGTGGTTTTTCATTCTTATCCGAGACATTTCGGAGGAGAAATTAGTTCAGGAGGCAGGCCCTCACCCCTTTCCCCTTCTTTCTATCCTGACGGCTGGATTAGCGGACAGTCAGGGGAGTAACAGAACTTTTCCAGTCCCCAGCCGGGAGACACTGCGGCTCCACAGAGTTTCCACTAGTGCTGTGTTTGAGTCTCGAAGTGGAAAGCAGTCCTTGCGCCCCACAGCATTGCCTCCCTGCACCAGGACAACCAAGGGTTCCGCTCCAGGCCTTGACGACACAGAGCAATCATCCTATGGAGAATATCCCTAAGTCAGAGCGCAAGTGCCAGGCGGGGTTCAGACTCGCGGCCCTGCGCTCTCGGGTCTAGTCGGCCTCATACCAGAGCGTCTCAAAAGACAAACTTGAACGAAAGCGCTACCGGACTGGGGCATGCACCTGTCCCTGGCGCGGTCGGCTGCTGCTGTGGCCATTCACTCCCTCTCCCTTCCTTCTTCGTCAGCCGAGGCGTCAGCCAGAGATAGGAGCGCGTCTCGGGAAAGTTTGTGCCCGCTGAAGTTGCTCTGGTTTCTTAAAGGGGGCCCGCATATTGACTTTCAAAGTCCGTGGGCACCTCGCCCGGGATTCCGCACAGCCGGGCGGGCTGGCTGCAGTAGCTGAGGCCCGCCCCCTCAATCCCCGGCGGTCAGAGACCGAGGACCCCGCGCGGGAAGTCCTGAGCCAGCACCCCCAACCACCCTGCTCTCACTTTCACAAAAGTCCTGCAGCATTCATCTGTCAAGAGCTTCCTTGGGGGCATTGAGAGAGAGGAGACACCCGCCGCGCAGTGACAAGGAACCTGGGAGTCCTGCCCGCATTCGCCTTGCTGAGCCCGGGCGCCCAGGACTGCAATTACCTTGTTCCGCAGAGGTCCCGGGGCTGAGCACGTCTCTGGGGCTTTAGCTGAAGGGAACTGGGGAAGCCGGAGGCGCTGGAGCCCACAGGCGCCCCTGGAGCTCTAGAGTCCCGACTCCTCTCCTGCCGCGGGGACTCTAAGCGTCGGACACGCGGGAGCGAGCGCTCAGCAGCCCCGGGTCCTGCCCGCCCGGGATGGTGAGCCTCGGTCGCAGCTCCCTCGCTGGGTCTGAACCAGGAGCAGCTGAGAACGTGCCGGGGAGAGGCCGAGCTCCGACTCACTCATCCCTTAGCACCGAGCCGCCTACTTATTTTAATCCACCACCCTCCCTCCTCCACCACCCCCACCCCCGCCCCTTGCCTCAGGATTCCTCTCCTCCCTCCCCTGCCCCCCAACCCTGCCATGCGCCTGCGCAATGAAAGACAAAGTTTTTGCTGACCCGGGCAGCAGACTTTGGCAGCTGCACTCGCTTGGACCCGGCCTCTCCCAACCTGCGTCCCCTCCTCTTCAGTCCCACGCGACCCCTTCTGCCTTTTTAGGTCCAGAGGGGCACGCCTGGCGCGCTGGAGGAAACGGTCCCTAGCAGATGAGAGCGGGCTGGCACTGCACGTTTCGAGGTCCTATACTTGGACTCCTAGGACACAGCCCGTGCTCTTTGGGAGAAGGGAGGGAGGGAGGGGCTGTAGCTCTGTGCACCGGGATCCTCACACCGCGGCTTGGGTTTCAATGCACTTTGGCGCCTGACAGAGTCGCCTTCCTCCCAGAATCTCTTTCCAGAGGCAGCAGACCCCGAGTGTGGAGCAGCTCCTGCACATCCAAGCGTGCTCGGGGCCAGGGTGTTAACCCAGGCAGCGCTGGTTAATTCTTGGTGCGGGAGGGCCAGGGTCACCGAAGCAAGCGAGCTGTAAAGTCCGAGTGCTTATGGCTGACCCCAGACCCTAAGTTCTGGAGTCCAGTAGAAAGAATAAAGAGTAGTGAAAGGTCAGGAAAGTTATTTTCCTGGGGCCCAGAATTCTCTGAGATTTCACCCTAATACACAGTGGCACTCTCTACTCACATATTTGTTTTAGGATGGATCGGAGTTTAGAGAGCTGCACTGGCAAGCCAGCCGAGTTGCAAAGTTGTCAGTTCCAGGGCTTCTGAGTCAAGGAGCTGGTTCAGGTGGAGTCCTTAATCGGAAAGGAATCAGAGTCTGGACATTAAAAATTCTGTCTTCATTGCCTAGGCTTTATGGAGGGTACCAACACCCCCTTGACTACTCATCTCTGAAAGCTGACCTCCGGCTGACCCCAGCCCAATCCCTGCCTAATGCCTTTCTGGAATACCCTTCCAGGCCTTGGGTTTGGCACAGGAGGCGTCTCTGGTTTCCCAGGACTTGAGTGGGTCCAGATCACACAACTGCACTCTCTGCCTTCGCCCCAGCGTTGCTGCTGAGTGACCCTTGGAGCTGGATTCTAGCTTCCATAGGTCCCTAAGTATTGGTACTGCCTCTCTCCCAAGGAGTTTCTGCTATCTCCAGCTTTGGTTTGCAAATCTGATTTTCTTGGGAGGTGAAGAAGTTTGTAATACCTGACCTAGGGAGATGGTCATGAAGACTCCCCTCCCCCAAAGGCATAGTTGAATGAGGGTTTCCTTATATCCCTAGGCCTTTAGAACAGAATCTAGCTTCCAACTCCTGGGTAACTTTGTCTTGTTTGAGGAGGAGTAAGAGAGGGTGCAATATTTGCTGCAGCGAACCCTCTTACCCAGTGCCTCAGGTCAGTGCAGAAGTAAGAGATTCACATAAGTTTGTCCGTGCTTCTGGAATCTTAGCAGTTGCTAGGATGCAGTGACATTCTTGCTAGAGTGAGAACCCTTGGAAGAGAAGGGAACTGAGATCACACCTCCTTCCTAGAGATTCCAGAACAGCAAGCTTCAAGAGCAAAGAAAGGCCTAGAGGGCAAGTCTACAAAGGCCAATGCTGAACTTTGCTGGCTTCCACCTGGGGCACAGGGAGTGTGCTTGTTCCAGCCTCAGGCTCTCCAAATAAGCAAAGCTTGGGTAACCTCCATTACCAGCAGCAAAAGTTAAGAAGGAAAAAAAAAATGCCCATACAATAGGGCCTCTGGTTGTGCAGATCACTTAGGAACAGTGGCTGGTCATTCAGGTGGGATGGAACCTCCCGGGGTGTAAATACCCAATCTTCTGCTATGCACCCCTCACAGCTCAACTGGGCTTCTTTTATGTTTCTCTTTGTCTTTCTCTTCTAAAACAGGGCTCTTGGCCAATATGCCTCAGGACTTCCAGAAAGCTCTAAGTAGTAGGATCCCTAAAGAGCTCTTGGAGAGAAAGTGTCCCTGATCTTAAAGAAGAAACACGCAACCGAATTGTTTCACCACAGCTTTGACAGATTATCTTGAAAACTGATCCTGACTCAGGTCTCTAGACCGCAGTGGATGTAGAGCAGGGTGCTGGAAGCAAGGTTGGTGCTGGTCCCCCAGGCTATGCCTCCCAGAGGAATCATGACCACCTCTGCCTGGAGCTGGTCAGCAAGGCCAGAACAGGACAAGGCCAGAGTGTACCTGAGCGCTGGTGAGGATGGCCCTCCACAAGGGCTCACCTGTTTCAGAAGCCTGGCTTCAGAGAAGTGTCTCCTAGGTCACTGACAATGCACAGCCTCAGAGAGCCAGGATAACGAAATTCAAGAATTGCTAGGAGCTGGAAAGTCCTCCATCCCACTCTGCGCTCCCAAGGGGGTGACCCCCAAACTCTAGCCTCGATCTCCACAGGAGGCCAACCAGAGTAGGCGTTCCCTCTGGGCAGGGCAGGCAGGAAGAAGCCCAGGAAGCTAAGAATCCCTCGTCTGGCCGCTCAGTGCTGGGGTATCCCATCCCCCGCCTATTTAAGAGAAACTGATCACATTAAGCGGGCCCTGGGTCGCAGCGTGGTGCCAGACTACGGCTTGGATGGATTGACAAGGGCAGGACTCAGGACACCTAAGAGCAACAAGGGTACTTTTTAAGCAAGGTTAGATGTGTTTAGGACTACCGAGGACGTCACGTTTCGAATTTGGTAACCGTCCTCGGTAACCCAACAGTTCTGTCCTCCTGGAAACCCAATGAAGGTGACAAAACTCCCATCCCATTACTGGAAGTCCAGCGCACTCTGCCACCGCGGCTGTAACTTCTGCTAGCTCTGAGCCTGAGGACTCCAGCCGGCGCGAACTCCGCCGCGGCTCTTTCTAGCTCTCTCGCTCACTGCCTTCGGGGCGCAACCGCGGGCGCGCGAGTAGTCCCAGACTCGGCTGGGACCAGGCAGCCTAGAAGAAGGGTCCCCGCAGTAGAGACCAGGCCTCCACCTCTCTGTCCGGCGCTCCGCTCCACAACCCGCTAGTCGGTGTGAGGTCCGTCAGGGGAGCGATCCCTCCGTCTGCCCGGGCCTCCGGACTATGGACCGCACTGAACCCAGTACCGCAGCAAGCCCTGCTGCCGCCTTTTCCTGGGCACGCCTGGGGTGGTGACTGCCGCTGCTCCTGTCTCCACGCCAATCCCCAGCCCCTCTCCAGATTCCTGCTCTTTGGGAAAGCGCCCCAGTCTGTCTTCGGAGTGAAAAGCGAGCAGCTTCCAGAAAATTAACTAGAATGTGGTCTATATTGCTTTGAGTTGTTTTGGATTAAAAAAAAAAATGAACCCCACCTCTCCGCACCCCATAGCCTCAAAAAAAAAAAAAAAAAAAAAAAAAAAGACCTCATTCTTTCAAATGGAATTTGCTCAGCACTTGAGAATTTTTGCTTCCAACGCAACTACTTCCTGTAACTATTTTGCAGACATTTGGGGGTGTGCTTGTTAGAAACCCCCTTACGCATGTACAGAGCTTTCAAATAACCTGGAGATTTAGGCGTCCCTCTGTATTCATTTAGATGATGGATAGTAATGGCTCAATAGTTCCTCTGGAACCATTACGGTCAATCAGGTCAAAATCCAGCTTGGGGGTGGGAAGCATTTTTAAGCACGGGAGGTAGGTAACAGGACTCCTGCGCACATTTGTTCAGATAACTCCTCTGATAACGTAATGCAATCCAGGGTTCTTAAAAGAACAGATGCCAGGTGAACCCAAGAGCCGGTGTTTTTTGTTGTGACAGCGACATACAAGTTACAGTATCAAAACTGAAAGGGAAAGTGAACTGTTTTTCCAGGCAGTTCCCGTTTGGTAAGTTCTTTACGGGCACACAAATGTAACTCTTTCACCTTTATAAATGTAACAACACACACACACACACACACGCATATACCTTTGGTTTGTAAAAATATGTGTGACATGAAGCATAAATATGAGCATGGAATTGCACGGACATACTACCATCGGGAAAATGGAATGATGTTGTCTTCTGTTGCGAAGATCAAATGTAAAATGTATGTAAAAGACGGCATGGGTTTTTACGTTTTACACAGATTGGAATTGTCAGATTATTTTAGACACATACAGATCTATGTACTAAGGTTAATGAACTTTTCCTTTTTCCGAGGTGTAAATAAGTGCATTAGAAACAAGGCAGTGTCTAATCAACCGGGGATGTTGGAGAACAGTAGTTTGAACGGAATTGTGGATAGTTAGGGTGGAATCCTGCGGATAGAGCCACCTACTGCACCCGCGGCGCTGGGTCCTGCCGGGCTGCACCGGCGGCGGGAGGCGCTGGAGGAAGGAGTGTTCGCGGTAATTAAACATTTCCAGACACCGGAGCGTTACTATCTGCAGAGCGATTTCCGGCGATGGGACTCGGAGAGAGTCCGGTTTCGAGGTTTCGAGATTCTGGGACGCAATCCTAAAGAAAACGTGCCCCCTGCTGGCGAGCAGGCCACATCTCGGGACCCCTTCCTGGAAAACTCTAACCCACAGTATCCTTATTTCACTTTGCCCAAGAGTATTTCAGTCCTTCAATTTTTCTTTTCTCAATTACGAAGTTTGCTGCTACTCGTTTAAAAGTACGCACACGCTTACCCTTCCAAAGAGCAAACGGAGGAGGAATTTCTTCTCGCCATGGGGTTTCTGTTTTCCTGTCCCAAACCAGACGTCGTTGCTCTCAGATGGATGAGGGCTTTTGTTTATGTGTTTGTTTGTTTTTAAATAATCCGAAATTCCTAGTAACTATCTGCCGCCGTTCGCTTCTGGTCCTGGGAAGATGATGAGCAAAGATCTACTGGGACCCCATCCTGCATTTGCGAGCTGGGTCCGCGTGCCCCTCCTGGCACACCCGGAGGTGAGAAGTGCCCTCCGGTGCCTCCCTCCGCAGCCCCTCGTAGGTCGGCACGCCCTGCTTCGGATCCCAAATC